CGTGGTCAAGCAGGTGCGTAGGGAGTCCACAAAGCTAATTTTACTCACTGCGAACACTTTGGTATCGTCGTGAGCGCACGAGGAGCGTTTAATCGGGTCGCGTGCAGAACAACCTACGGAGGAGTAGATTGAAAAAAAACATCACAAACTTTGAATGTGAGCGAGTGAGGGGAGGGGGGTTGGGAACAAAGTGGTCACAAGCATTGAGGCACCATACAACAACTTAAAACAGAACCTGCTTCTGAGATGACTCACAGCAAGTTTCGCGTGTGGCTTTGAGGGATCTCAGACATTTGCATTGGTGAGCTCTTTCCTCCACGAATACGATGCGGCGTTGGCAGGTGAGGGAGTCACACTTGGTGGCGAAGACCTTAGGTTCGGAACAGACTAGGCAAAAGAAATGCATTGAAGGTTACCTCAAGCATGCATTTCCTAGCAAAGAGGCAAGAAAGCAAGTAGATGTTGATGTTATTCTGGCCTTACCAACGGTATTTCGAGTGATCTCTACAGTCTCCTCACACTGTCCGTCGACCAGTTTGCTCAGGATTCGAGAGGTCTCCTGAACTTTATCACTATAACACTGGGTCTTTGTCTTCTTGGCTGGACAGAAGCATCTACGTGGGATCGTCTTCACCAGCTCCTACGAAAAAAATATCATATATATAATTATACATAAAATAAATATATCGTAATAGGCAGAAATACATTATCGACAAGGACAAGGCAGACTGATTAAAATGGCAATTTCTGGCTTATTAGCCGTCATCATAATATATGCTAGCCGTTGAGCGGCTGCTGGCGGGACTCGGGAGCAAGCCCCCAGGCACAACGGAACTACTGAGTGCCATACCGATGGGTGAGCGCCCATCTACCCTAGTATATATAACAAAATAATATAATGTATAAGTATGCAAGTCGCTGGGTAGGATGGCAAACAGTGTGTGGTAGGGGAACAGCTCGCTCACCTTGCATTGACAGTCAACCAGTCGTTTGGTGATTATCTTATCCGTCCGCGTGCCGTCGGGTAGACAAGTGCCTTGAACAACTGTCGCGGCCCGGGAACAGTCTTCAAAGACAATGTTGTTGTTGTTTTTAGGAGGGCGAAGGATCAAGGTCAGTAATTGCAGTACAAATAAATGGTTCATTATGCGCCGGAAAGAGTTCTTACAACCTAATGGCAGTCCAGGATACCTTTTTTTTAATGACTGAGCGCTAACAATTAAGGAAAAACTGTTGCTAACAGCTGAACGGTCTATCACTGCTCGCGGAATCCATGTGCAAACTGAATCATCCGAAAAACCGGATCAACGTTTGTGATTTTGGATGAGGAACGCCCAGGAGAACCCGAGGGCCCAATCTCACAAATGCCTGTTCAGAGGATCAGACATCCGAAATTGCCATCTATTAAATAACAAACGAACCAACTAACTCCCCGGTCTACATGCGAAGCGTTGCGATGTTGCTTGAACTATAGAGGTGCAGTGTATGAGAGTCTGATTAAAAACGCCGCACATATATTCTTAGAGCAAGAACTCCAGGAAGAGATCGTTATTTATGTACTCAGAGATAGATATCTCTCCACAGGACCCTTCATTTTGGTGTCATCCACGCACAAAATCGGGCTCCACATTTCTTTACGTAAGTATGACCTCGAGGAGACGTTTTTAATTGCAAAAAATGTTTTGTAAAACTGCTGCGCCATAATTTTGTTGGACAGGTTTAAACCCAGTTCGTCTGTGGTCAGAAATCGCAGCTCAAAAATAGTAGAGTCCAGAATTTGCGAGCTAGCTTCTCGATAACTGCTACCCAGACGTTACCGGTGAGTTCGGGTGGAAAGCGATTGGTCGGATATTTATAACAATAATAATAAATTGTATCAACTATTCGTCACTGAAATTCATGATTCACAATTACTTGGTTGACCTCTGTGCGATTCGGACCCAAGACAGTAGGGAGAAGGGTTTAGGATAGCCAACGCTGTGGCCACCAGAGCTACGAGGCCCCACCAGGAACCGTGATTTTAATCACACTTTTATTTGTCCCACCAAAGATCCCGACCATGGTTATGAAGGATCATAAATTATACGGTGGAAATTTCTTAAGTCTTTCGCTAAATTTTCAGAAAGAATGATCGGAAACACATGACAGACCTCGCTTTTAGATTAATCCGAAAAGGTTACTTCCCTTGTTAACTAAAGGGGAGCCGACGAGTAAAACAAAACGCACACACCTTTTTCTAGTATCGGCGTTACGTCCTCCTCCAATTTGAATTGGTGGCATGCTGGAATTCCAAACTTGTTTACTCGCAGACGCCAGACTTCCTTGGTGTTGATTAGTCGGCCACTGACACAGCTGGTTTTTAATCGCGGTTCTTGTGTGCAACCTAAAATAGTAAATGTTAACGTCTACTAACAATCTTGAAAGTAGGTAGGTAATGTTGTTTAGTAAAATCCAAAACGCACAGCATTCGTATGCTCTTCGGTGAGTGGTGCCAAGACAGTGTCCATGGGCTGGACTGTACTGATAGACATGTGAGTAGATGTAGCCGACACAGTTAGTTTTTCGAGAACACGCTCCTCGTGTCACCTTGGTGGGCGGGCAGGCTGCAAAGAACAAGGAATCGATGCAAGAAAGTAGACCTTTCAAAATTAAAGCGAATGGATAGAAATCAAGTCAGTAAACTGACCTCTAAGGCAAAGGGTCTGGACAAGCCAATCAGAGAGTTCCTTTGTCTGCTGTGTGGCCCTAATCATGACGAGATGACGCTGTTTAGGTTCACTGGCTAGTTTGGAAAGGAAAATGTGACCGCGCTTGTCGGAGCCGAAGACGAGCACATTTATCTGAACACCCGAAGCACGAAGGGTTGCAGCTATATCTGGGGCAGCAGAAATGTCATTAACTCCATCGCTGATTAGGTAAATCATCTTAACAATGTCTTTCCTGCTTTTTGAGAGCACCTAAAAGTTGACGAAAACTAGGTAACTGAAGGGCTTAAAATAAATGGTGGAAATTTCACATAAAGCTACAAATCCGAACCCTACCTCACGGTTAGTTAGGTCCAGCGCCCTCCCCAGGTTGGACAAACGTCCTTCGTAGTGAAGGTTATCTACGTGGTGAAGCATTGGCGGTGAAACGGCATAGTCATCCAGATTGAACGCAATACTGGGATTGCTGGCATACTTGACAACCGCGAAGCGATAGTCTGTTCCATTTCCGTCGAGCCTGTCAGACTTGAAAGTCCGGATAATGTGTTTTAGAAGC